TTCAAGCCTCATCTTTGAGTTTCATTGAGTCTACTCTCCGACAAGCCTTGAAGCAGGGGGCATTTGTAGACATTGGAATTTTGTGGGACTCTACAAGACGTGTTTAATTCGAATTAGAACTCTAGAATGTGTGTTCAATTCCAATTAGGATTCTTGGAGGCTAAACCCTAAACCCTACTTCATGCCTATATAAAGGGTACTAAATTCCCTTAAAAGGCATCTCGAAAATTTCATAAAGAGATCAAAATCTCAAAATATCTCATAAACTCTTGGGTATTTTTAAAGATCAAGATCTCGAATATTCAATAAAAGTCATGGAATATTCATATAGAGGTCAAATCTAAATCATCCTAGTTCGAGAAATACGCCACTACTGACCCTCAAATCATGGATAAATCTTAGAGAGTACTTCAAACCTCGTCTTTGAGTTTCATCAAGTCTACACTCCGACAAGCCTTGAAGCAGGGGGCATTTGTAGACATTGAAATTTTGTGGGACTCTGCAAGACGTGTTCAATTCGAATTGGGACTCTAGAAGGTGTGTTCAGTTACAATTAAAATCATTGGAGGCTACTCAACCCTAAACCCTAGTTCATGCCTATATAAAATGTACTAAATTCCCTTAAAAGGCATCTCAAAATATCCCATAAACTCTAGCGTATTTTTAAAGATCAAGATCTCGAATATTCCACAAATTAAAGTCATGGAATATTCATATAGAGGTCAAATGTAAATCATCCTAGTTCGAGAAATACACCACTAACTGCCCTCGAATCATGGATAAATCTCAGGAGAGTAGAATCAAGGGAGGAACAGAATTGTACCTGTAATCTTGATGAATAAAATTATGTTTCTTCATTTTTTTTTTGTGATTGTAATTTATTTTTCGTCACTTTAAAATTTGTTGCAAACACTTGGATTGGACTTTCTATTATCCAAGACATTAAGAAAATTGTAAGGCTTTTCAGAATTAAATTCGGATGAGTAGAACTCCCGATGTCGCACTTGGCGTGAATAATTTAGAACGTCAAGATTTGAAGGTGTGTTGCAAAATGAGGACTTTTTGGGAAAATTTTGAGTTTTTTTTTTCGTGCAATCACGCCGCTATAGTGGGAGAATTAATTCTCGCTATATTAGGTGATCCACAATGGCGGAGGCGCTATAGCGCGGTCCATCATGAATTAATGCATGAAAAATCCTAAAAGGGCAACCTGGGCATTTTCTTCAATTTTCCACCAATCTCTTCAGTAAAGGTAAGTTAATTACTCCCCTAACTTGTAGTTCGATTCTTAAGCCTTAGAATCTATTGTGGTTATCTTAGGGTAGGGTTTTGACATGAATTAATGGTAGAAAAATCCTTATTTGGGTGGGGTGATCATGGAAATGGCCCGGGTTTAGGATTTGAGTATAATTCAGGTATTTTTAGGCCATTGTTCATTAATTGTTGTGCTTTGTTATTATTCTTTTTGTTGTTCTTGAGAAATTCAAATTTTATTATAGATACAGATCACTTGTAAAGCAACATGTCACACGGATATAGACTATATAACAAAAAATCTTAAAATATATCAAACTCTTTTTTTGCTTTTGAAATTCCTTTTTTTCTTCGATTGTCCCAATATATCATAGATATAAATGTAAAGCAACCTGTATCATAGATTATCAAAGGAAAGAAATATTCTTCTTAAAACATATTAAAAGGGAAAGTAGGATAAATAATTTTAATTGGAGGGAGTATAATATTTTACCAATTATAGAGCCAGATACAATCCTCAGCATTAACATCCTCAAACTCAATCCCAAAAATTCCGGGTTGTTTTTCCTTATTTGGTCAGTGCTGAGCTGTTCACGAGTTTTATGGTACAACATGCAAAATATTTATAATCCAAATAATTGGTTAGTGCATGAACCTCAAACTAATTACATAAACATTAGTAGAATCTTTTTTTCCCCTCCCTCTCTCACATTTTCTCAAGACTATCCTAAAATTTATTTGTTTCCATATCTATATATTATTTGATTCTAACAACCAAGTACATGTGAAAGAAAATGGAGAATTTTTTGTTGATGACTTTCTTGTTTTTGGCAATAACAATAATATTGCCTTCAACTCATGGTCTTGATCAAAGTCCTAAAGGAGTGGACAAATGGTTCGAGAAGCTTCCCCATGCAAAAGCAAAAATGACCAAACTTCACTTCTACTTTCATGACATTGTGACTGCAAAGAATCCATCAGCAATCCAAATAGCACAAGCCAATAATACATTTCAATCACCAACATTTTTTGGCTTAGTGAGGATGATGGACAATCCGTTGACGGTTAACCCCGAGCCCAACTCCAAAATAATAGGCCGAGCCCAAGGAATTTATGGCTCAGCATCGTTCGAAGATATAGGCCTTCTTATGACTCTCAACCTTGTGTTCACAAATGGTAAGTACAATGGTAGCACGCTTAGTATCCTTGGACACAATCAAATATTTCACGAGTATCGAGAAATGCCAATTGTTGGTGGTTCCGGTGTTTTCAGGCTAGCAAAAGGCATCGCCACCGCGAAAACCTACCAAGTTGATAACACCACACAAAATGCAATAGTTGAATACCATGTTGTGGTTTTGCATTATTGAAGTTTCCTTGTTTGTTTTGATATATTATATTGTTCATTATGTGTTCTTGATTGTGGCTCTTTGACTTGCCAATAATGTGAATGCGTATAATAAAGAAATAAAGTAATGCATCAAATTGAGTATCAACGATTCATCCAGTATTTATTGACTTTGGCTACATGTCAATCATATTAATTAACTAACATTTGAACCATTTTTAAAAAAAACTATTAGCTCAACATCATTATCATAATTAACACAAATATTTTTATATAAAAACTTTGTTGTTACTCTGTATTCAAAACAGGAAACCAGATTTTGAAACAAACTGATAACAAAAAGAAGAAACTTTAAAGAAAATATTTGGGACCACTGAATTCATTGTGTTCTTAAGAAATTTAATCTCCTTACTATACTCGAGGGTTTTAGATTACATAATCGTAGGATAAAATGAATAAACATGTTATTGATGTAGATGTACCTCAAACGCCAATAACTTCGTTGAACTCAAACTCTTAAACAAATCTCACAAATACTCGATATTTGTTTGTAAGAAAATATGTAGATGAATTTGAGAAACTTGAAGCAAAACCTGAAGGTAAGCCTCTCTATTTATTAGATTGTTTAGTATCGTTATTGTTCAAATTGATCAATTCTGTAATAGATGGTTGTGTCACAAAGAAAGAGTTACTTTATTTTTACACACTTCATAAAAGATATATGACAAGCTAGTATTATTCCTTTAATAAATAAAAAGGAAAGCGGAGAATATTAGTAGTTTAGTTGGTTGGTAATAGCGTACTTGGTAGTTAGTTATAGATATGCATTAATTTGAATTTTGAATTATCAAGATTTGATATATAGTTTGTATCGTACAAGGTGTTCGCTGAAATACCTGATAGGGATATTGACATGGAAGTTATTGATTCAGTGAAGAATGATGTAGTAAAATCTGAAACTCGGATGTTCGACGAAAGGTTTCAAACAATTTCCACAGTTAGGTATGATTCCAGTAACCTTGTCAAGTTTGATGAAATGTTGTTTGCACTCCCTTGTATGATCTCAACTTGTAATTCCAGCAATGGTATATTTGCTTATTTAAGTGAACTCGATCCTACTAAACATCCATTATCCTTGAATCGATTTCCACGTGCTTGATTCAAATTAGAATTTCCAGTTGATCCTGGTTCTAGTATATATGCTTACAACATTTCTTGGCTTTGCAAGATGTTATTATGTCATGATTATTGATGATTTCAAGGAGATCATTAAAATATTTGTCTGTCATTTTGATTCCACAACCAGTGATCAATGTATTTTAAATCAATTTTTGTATGATCATGGTGCGAATTTGTTTATTGTAACATCTGGTGGACGCCTCCAGGTTCATCAATTGCACCATGCTGTCAATTTTCAGCTGAATACCTCTCAAAGTGAGAGTGTCTTTCCATTATATAGAGAAAATAAAGATTACACATCCCTAAAGATCCGCCATTCCTATCCCTAAAGATCAGCTATTCTATCTATACAAATCCGCCATTGAATCCCTCTAAATCTGCCTTGCTATCCCTCCAAATCAGCTATTCTATCACAATATTTATTCATATGATTCTACAACAAATGTATATGATCATGCTAATTTATATCACTATATAATTACATTAATATATACAAATCGCAGCCACTGTTCCATCCATTGACGTACAACAGTGCGTTCAAGTATCTCCCGTTCACCATCAAACACCAACCCTTCAGGGAAGAGTTGTAACTCCTTAGGTTTTAATTCCTTTTCGGAGAAAATCTATCATCTTTCCCTTCAAATAAGGATTGAGGGGCGAGGGCGCCGCCTTCCAATCCAATATTCTAGAGGTAATAGATGTGACTTACCTGGCTTTGAGCAAGCTGCTTTCAATCGTTCCCATCGTTTTGACTGGGTAGAATGAATGCGAGAACGAACACGGAAGCCCGCACCCCCCAACCTTTGTAAAATTGAAATATTAATATCATATTTGGTTGCAAGTACAATCATTTAGTTGTCTATCATGCTAACATCCCCTCTCAAATTGATGCTGGTGGATCAAGAAGCATCAATTTGCCTACTAGAAACTGATGGCGTTACCGTGCCATGGATTTTGTAAACGCATCAGCTATTTGAAGATCACTGGACACATGTGGAAGAGTAATGACTCCTTTATCTACAGCTTCTCGTATATAATGACAATCCACTTCGATGTGTTTGGTCCTCTCATGAAAAACTGGATTAGTAGCAATCTGAATAGCACTTGTATTGTCAGCGTGGAGAGGAGTAAGATGAGATTGGGGAAATCCAATCTCAGCAAGTAATCCACGAAGCCATACAACCTCAGAGCAAGCAGTAGACATGGAACGATATTCAGCCTATGTTGAAGATTTTGACACACGATCTTGCTTTTTACTCTTCCAAGATATCAATGACTCTCCAAGAAACATGCACCAACCAGAGACTGAACGACGAGTATCAGGACATCCCGCCCAATCAGAATCACTAAAAGCATTAAGATGAATAAGAGAACCACTTGGAAAGAACAATCCAAGAGTAGATGTTCCTAGAAGGTACCGAATGATGCGACGAACAGCCACCAAGTGGAGATGACGGGGAGCTTGCATAAATTGACTAACTTGTTGAACTGCAAAAGAGATATCAAGCCGAGTAATAGTAAGGTAATTTAGACTCCCAACTAATTGTCGAAATATAGTTGGATCAGGAAGAAGATCGCCCTCCTCTCGACGATACTTGACATTTATTTCCAGTGGAGTATCTACGGAGGAGGAAACTTGAAGACCAGCCAAAGAAATCAGATCCTGAGTATATTTGTGTTGGTTTAGAAATACACCTGAAGCAACATTATGAACTTCCAAACCCAAAAAATAAGTAAGAGTACCAAGATATAAAGAATCTTTAAGCTGCTGTTGGAGGCAAGTGATTAGTGAAGAATCAGTTCCTGTGATAATAATGTCATTTACATACACCAAAAGAAGAACACAACCTGTAGATGTTTTCCGAAGAAACAAAGATGAGTCATATTTGCTCTACTCAAAAGAAAATTGTAGCAAAGTAGACCGGAACTTATCAAACCAAGCTCTTGGAGCTTGTTTTAATCCATACAAAGACCGCTTCAACTTGCATACATCTGATGTAGGCGATGAGAACAAACCAGGTGGAGGTTTCATATAAATATCTTCTTTAAGATCACCATGGAGAAAAGCATTTTTGACATCCATTTGATAAAGAGACCAGTTTTGTGAAGCAGCAATGGCAATAATAGTTCGCACTGTAGTCATTTTGGCTACGGGTGCAAAAGTCTCCTCATAGTCCACCCCATACTCTTGTCTGTTTCCAAGAACAACCAATCGAGCTTTGTACCGATCAAGAGTTCCATCAGAATGAAGTTTGACTGAATAAACCCATTTACATCCAATAGGGCGGACATTTGAAGGACATGAAACAATGTCCCATATGTCATTTTCTTTAAGAGCCAAAAGTTCTTCCTCCATTGCTTTCTGCCAACATTCATGCTTGGAAGCTTGTGAGTAACAAGATGGAACAGATATGTTGGATAAAGTAGAGGAAAAGCCATACCAATTGGGAGTACGAGATACTCTTGTAGATCGCCGAGTAGGCTCAAGAGGACCAGATCTTGA